CAGCACTCTTCCCTCATCTCTATAATGATGTAACAGTTCTAAGGAACCCATTATCAAGTTCCTCAGCTTGTATTCACTGTCCTGACAGTAACTTTGTACTTCCTGGACCTTCTGTTAATCTTGGACTTTCACAATCTCCTTTTCCCACTCAACAAAAGGAAGATCTCACTGCTTTGCTCTAGGCTATAAAGATACATCTGGAGCTGAAGGGATGATTAAGGTCATTGGTGTTGATGTTGCTATAGCAGTGAACCAGGAGCTTAATGCTCATGTTTATAAAAATGAACCCCAGGTGTGGAATTGAAGCGGAACCCTGTTGCATTCTAGCATAAGTAATATTTACTCATCGAGACAGAAATAATCAGAGGAGAAGGGATTTGTCCGTTCCATAAAAAATGGGAAGGTGTGTAAGATTTCAATTTATACAAATATGTTGCAGAAAAACACAGCAAGGTGAGCAATAAAAATCTCTTGTTCATAATGTATTTTACATTAGCGTACATTTCTGGGGAAATACACATATTTTAGAAGGAAGGGAAGAATAAAATATTGGGTCCAGAGATAATGTTTTTGTTTTTTAAATGAACCATAGTATCACCTCTTTCATTAACTACACTTACTAGAAATAATGCTTACACTTTTAATAGGTTTTATTTTCACTGCACCAGGAATTGTGTTCTTTGTTACTATGAAAGCATATCTCTAATACATGGTCAATACCTAAAAGATAGTATGCGTAAAGTTTTTTTTTAATCTTGTATTAATATTTGCATATTTTCTGGAAACTGCTAATTTCAACCTCCCACTATAGCTGGATACATCTGTGGGGAGCAGAGGGCACCCTGCCCTGGAACCCAATCTGCCTCCGCAAATTCTTCTCCCATCCTGCTCCCCACAGCAATCTCCCACCAGCTTTCCAGGACATCCTCAACAGTTTGTCAGGGTAACTTGTTCTCAAGCTGCATTGCTATTATGAATTAGGCAAAAATTAGAGAGATACAGCCTCTCTCTCCCTCATTTGGATCTAGAAATATTCTCTTTATAGATACATACTGCCTTTTTCTGGAGTATCTTTCCTATTTATGCCCTGTGCTCTTTTATGTAAGATTTTGACTCAACTCCTTAGGTCTGGAAAGAGCAAATTAGACACCAATTGAAGAGCCAATGAAATGGCTTGGGGTTAGGGGACTTGCCTCTGAACCCAATGGCCCAAGTTCAACCCCAGGGACCCACATGATAGAAGCAGAGACCTAACACCCATAGGGTGTTCTCTGACCTCCACTGAAGCATGCATGCCCCCACCACATGCACAATAAATGTAATAAAAATGAAACTCATTTATGCTTAGGATAGTGAATATTTCCTTTTAGTTTCATTTTATTATTAATATTATTGCCGTGTGTGTGTGTGTGTGTGTGTATGTGTGTGTGTGTGTGTGTGTGTGTGTGTATCGCAGTGCCCATGTGAAAAAGATAGCTGTTTTTGATGCAGGGTCTCTTTCGTCTCTGCCGTGCTGGGCTCTCAGGCTAGCTGACCAGAGTACCTCTGGGTAATTCCCATCTCTGCCTTCCATCTCACTGTGGGAATGCTAGGATTACAGATGGGCCCCAATGCAAACCAACATTTTAAGAAATAGTTCCTGGGGGATGCAGCTCATGACATTGGGTTTCCAGAGCAAAATTTTTGCTTGCTGAGGCGTCCTGCTGGCCCCACGATGGTTATTTCAGTCTATGAACTGTAGGGAGTGGAGGAAACCCCGAGTAAGTGAATTCGCATTTTTTTTTTTTTTTTTGTTTTTGTTTTTTCGAGACAGGGTTTCTCTGTGTAGCTTTGCGCCTTTCCTGGGACTCACTTGGTAGCCCAGGCTGGCCTCGAACTCACAGAGATCCGCCTGCCTCTGCCTCCCGAGTGCTGGGATTAAAGGCGTGCGCCACCACCGCCCGGCGTGAATTCACATTTTGATGTGAGCACAGTATGTCAAGGATTCCAAGACCAATGGGCCCATGAGAAATTGGCAAAGCTGTTAACCTATATGAGCCAGGCTCAAGAAGAATGGCAAAGCTTTCCTTGTCTGTTTATGAGCTGTTGACCAATGTATTTAAAGACTAGCAACTGTGACTTCCTCCTCCTGGGTGGTTACAGCCAGAGACTTCTGGCTTACAGAGACCTCCAATGGACACCATCTAATCCTTTCTTATTTGCTGTACCGAATAAATATTCTGAGGGTCTGGTCAGCAGGCAGTAGCTCTAGAGAACCCCAAGTGACCCCAGCTTTGCTGTACATGTGTCTGTCCTTTCATTCCCTGGCCACCCCTAGCCAGGGTTCCAGGACCCAAGCCTCAAGGACATGGCAATGAACCAGACATATGTTGAAGATTTAGATCGTCAATGTATTTTGATAAAACTTTCAGTTTCCCCACAAAGGTCTAAACGTATCTTCATCTGCGTCCCATTTCCTCTTAAAACTATCAAGTTTATATCCATAGTTGCACCTCTCGTGTATAACAATATCATTTTTGTTGCTTTTAAAAGCTTTCCTAGATGGTTTCTAGGAGTGTGGTGAGAAACTTCTTGCTATTTAGCCCAGGCTTCCCCAGAACTCTCCATCCTCCTGCCTCAAACTCCTGGGTGCTGGGATTATAGGCTTGCTCAACCACACCCAGGCTTCACTAATCATTTTGAATTCTCTTTTCTTGACCACTCATTTCTGTGACTTTCTTTTTATTTCTGTACTTCATGATTGTTCTGTATCCGTCATCCTGGTATCTGCAGTTACTGAGGATATTAATCTAACGTCACTTCCTCTGGCATTTACTTACAGGGACTTGTTCGTTTGGGTTTTTTGACTATTGCTTGTGTGTTCTATTTATCTGTCCACAGTTACTTATGAGAAGGACGAGCATATGCTTTTACTGGGGAGCCACAAGGCTATGAGGTCAGTTAGCTAAGATTCTTAGCTAAATATAAAAATATCACATTCATGGGCTGACAAGACGATTTAGTGACTAAGCATGTGTGCTGCTCTTGCAGAGGATCAGGGTTCAGTTCTCAGCACCCATTTCAGGTGGTACACAACTGCCTGTTACTCCAGCCCCAGGGGATCTGACACTTTCTTCAGGCACCTGCACACACACACACACACACACACACACACACACACACACACACACAGTCTCTCTTTCACACTCCCACATACACACATGCACCAGGGAACACAGAGTAGCAAAGACCCATTTTGAGCAAAACAGAAAAGGAGATAGGTTCCGGGGGAAGAGAACCAAGGGTCATGAAGAATAATGGACGGCAAAGTCCCCTCTCAGCCTCAGCTCAAGGAAAATTCCCCTCGCATTGGGGTCAGAAGATCTCTATAACATTTTCTCTATGAGATTTCCCAGCGACAGCCAGATTTCTCCTTTCTACATGGGAATAGTGCCTAAGCTGTTTCATAAACACATCCCGACTGAGTACTGGACACACGGGGGCAGGCGGCTTTCCTTGTTAAGTTCACAGGTTTGGGGCTCAGAACACTTCCATACAGGAAGCACAAATCGTCCTGAGGTAAGAGCTACAGTGTGTCACTCAAGATCCCAAATGTGAGCTTCCTGTTCGCCCTCCACGGAACTGAGTTTTCGCCTGCAGTTTGCAAGTGCCTGTAACCCAAAGGAGGGGGAATGGAGTGAGTATTCTGTGCCTGTTACATAATTCACAACATCTTAAAATAATTCTGGTTTGTACTGCTTCATCAGAGGTTTGCCCGTTTGGAGGCAGGCATTCTGTGAGATTTTTAGCTGACGAACCATGGGCAGAAGAGGCTGAGAAAACAGGTTTAAAAGCAGGGGTGTGTTGGCTCTCTGTTGCAGTTTTCTTTGTCTTTATTCCAAGGACAGGCAAGTCTCCAGACTGTGAATGGTGTGATAGCTTAGGTTTCAGAATGGGAGAACTAAAGAGTCATCTTGGGGTGCATGTATGAGAACATAGCCTTTGCTTTGAGCTTATGCATCTGAGGAGTTCAGTGCAACAGCATTACCTGCCTCACCCCGAGGGATGCAAGTCTGGCCCTGGTTTCATCTGGGTTTCTATGATCCACTTTGGCAAAAAGCAACTTATGAGAGAAGGGTTCATTTTTACCCACAGTCCCTGGTTACAGAGGCTTATTAGAGAGTTATTATAGAGAAGTCAAGGCGGCTAGTACTGCACATCCCTAGGGAAGAGCAAAGAGGAACATACGTGAATGCTTAATGCTCAGCTTGCTGCTTCTACCCTTAAATAATCCATGACCCGGAACCAGGGAATGGTGCTGTCCACTTTTAAGCAGAGCCCTCCCATATCAACGAAGGTAATCAAGAAAATCCCCCACAGACATGCCCTCAGGCTATTCTGATCTAGACAATTCCCAGACTCCCTTCCCACGTGACTCCACATCTTGTCAAGATAAACAGTTGAAGCTAACAGTCAGACGTCCCAAATGGGGAGAGGAAGGATTTCAGTGTGGTGCTAGCTACAACTACCTAATAAGCATTTGATGGGCCATCTCAAATCTGAACCCCAGTTTATTAACCTATAAAGTAGAACTAAAAGTTCTCCTGTCTGCTCCCCAGGCTTGTTTTGGGTGTCCTGAGAAGGTGTTTGAGAAATGTAAAGCATGTGCAAATACTTGCCTAGAGTACCTCTTGCAACATGGAGCCAGTGTACTCTCATATGTTAAATGCCAACCTCACGAAGAAAACACCGGAGGAACCCCCAAACTCATGGTCTAAGTGAGATAACTGTGGAATGAAGGGCTTGAAAATTTCAGCAGAGTGGAACCGCTGCCATCCAAAACATCTCAATGACCACACACGCCCTCTCTGACAACCCTACTGCTTCCAAGATGCCCCAAAGCTTTTGAAACGCTATCATAAGTTAACCATTTGACGAATAAAAATAAAACCAAAGCCGATTTTAGGAGACAAGAGTTTGTTTCAGTGTAGAAAATAATCGCCTTTTATGCTTTGTTACAGGAAAGCGAACACAGAGCTGGCTTACCCACCACAATTTCTCCAGGTGAGTGTGCTAAACCACTTCAAGCTCCAAGTGCCTTTCCTTCCCGAGCCCCTGGAGGGGGGCTGATCCTTATCTCCCAATGAGACCACCCTATTACAAAAAGCAAAAACGGAATCTTGGAACAAGCCTTTTCTATCATTTTCTGGCAAACAGAAGGACGGGAGAAGATGTCATGACTTGGGAATTTGGGAAGCTGGTTAACAGGTTCTACCTCGGTAACAGAGACTATAAACCCATCACTTCAACTGTCAGCAGGGAGGTACCACTGCCTGGGCCTTGTGACATTGTTGTTTGGGGCCCTCCATTTGCTGTGATATGAAATGTCCAAACGGGTCAGGCAGGGCCCCACGGTAATGCTCGGAAGTGCTGCGTTGATGGGCACCACAGTAAGAATAACAATGGAGAGTGAATAATTACACACCAGACCGTGTGTACCTCCTCTTACTAAATACCTGGAACAAATTACCCCTCTCTGTCCTTTCTAGTTTTGCATTCGGAAGACCAAAAGATTCAAATTGTGTTTTGAGCTGTCAATAAACTTCACTGGCCATTTGGGTTCAAATTAGCTGTTAAGTAATTTTCTCTTAAACTGACGGTCTATATTTTTAAATTTTTAAAGCTGTGCTTTATTTTTTTATTCAGCAGTACCACTTACATATTCAATAACACTATAGAATAATTAATATGGTTTTAAACAGAAAGATAAAAGGAGAAAATTTCACGTTACCAAGTCCCTCCCACCAAAACAAATCTCTCTTCCTAAGTGGGTCAATGCGGCAGATGTACTCAGTGGCTAATCATGTCTAATTCCTATTGTCCTAATGGCCAATGGAATTAAAAAGAAAGCTCGGCTTTCAAAATCACTGCCTCAAAGGAATATTCTTTTGAATTGCAAAATGGTTCTTGCTGCTTTAATACCCAGAGAGCTAGATCTACTCATCTACCACAGGCGGTTGGTGGTGGGGGGTGGTGGTGGTGAGGAAGGGCTGTGAGGGAAGAGGGTGGGGGTGGCATTTGGGAATTGACACACAACTCAAAGTAGGGAAAACTTAGCTTTATCTCCTCTCTGAGCTACAGTCTGAGGGCTAAATAAACTTCACTCTGCAGTTATGCCCGGGTTAGCCATTTAAGTGATGTTTTAATGCAAAATGAAAACTTGCTTGTTCTAATTCCTTCCTGCCAATTTACTCTGCCGTGAACATGATGATTTCATGTCTTCAAACTCTTTCTTGGTTACATAATAAAAGGTGACCATTCATTTTTAAAACATACATTAAAATTTCCAGTTGAAATAAGTAATCCTAGACTAAAAGAGCATCTAACAGCAACATGGGAATCTTCATCACTTGTGGTCCCAGTTCTGACCTTTGGAAAGGATGTCTCTGCAAGCTGGAGAACATAATCATCAGAGAGTGCTCTTTATTGCTTCTAGCCCCAACATCTCAGCTTTAGAGTTCCATTTGGCAGAGATCCCTTACCCTCAGCAAGCTTTAAGGGATCCTTCCTAATATGGAAATTCCACCATAAGCATACCCTCGATTAACATTTGAAAGTGTTGAGCCAAAACATGCTTTCACAAAGTTATCATACTGTCAGATAAATAGTAAAGAAATATTATATGAAAAAGATCAAGAGATTTCCCTGCTCAAAGACTTCCTTCCCAAAGTTCAATATCTTTATTGAAGTGAGCTTACCTGGCCTTTGTTTATAGGATTCTTAGTTCAAGGTAATTTTGGAAAGTATTTTTTCCCATACTTGTGTGTGTGTGTGTGTGTGTGTGTGTGTGTGTGTGACGCATGCTTGACCGTGTAAGCCACAGTGTTCATGTGGAGGTCAGAAAACAACTGTGGGAGTCAGGGGTCAGTTCTGTCTTTCCATCATGTGGGGCCTGGGGATCTACTACACATCCTAAGGCTTGGAGACTGGTACCTTTACCTACTGAGTCATCTCTCTCACCACTAAATGCAGGCTTCTTTTGTGTAGCTCCACATATTTTGAAATATTCTGTGTAGTAAACATCCACCTGATTTCTATCTGAAAGCATTGAACTAGAGAATACTTATTAAGTATTCTTAGGAGGCTACGGGGGTGCATGATTTTCCTCTAATGATCTCTACAAATACGATACATTGGCAGCTTTGTTATCTCTTAGGCAGACTGATGAGCCATAAGACATCTTCAAGTGCCATCATTGTATCTCATAAGAAAACATTCCAGGACATGTGCTGATGTGGCCCTTTGGGTGGCAGAATCGACCAGTGGGCATGAACTGGTAGTGGCTTCCCCCAGGGGCATTACCTCCCTGGGACTGTGGCCTTGTGTTCTCGGCTATAAGAGTAATGTATAGAAGGCTTTTACTGTAGTTTCTTTTTTCCAGCCGTTGTTGGAGGCGAGACAGTTAAATGAGAAGGAAAGAGTGGAAAAGCAAAGATGCCCCTTGTGTAAAATCTGCTGTGTCCCTTGTCCTTCTGCCTTACATACCTGTCAGTTTATACCACATTTTTTTGATCTGCTGGTACCCAGTGGTCAGGATAGTCACAGGTCCATGACTAGTATGGTATAGCATCGCCCATCACAGAAAAAAAAATACATTCACTTGTCCTCTGACACAATATGTTTTTTTTTTTCCCTTCCCGACGGTGGCAACAGTTTTCAGGACCCAAGCAAAGCATTCACTTTTAAGAGAGATCTTGAACAATAGTCGCATCTGTTTCTCCAAAGCCAGCCGGGCTCAGCACCGCTGAATTCATCTTCAGCTCTGAGTAGAAAAGGGCATTGTTAGAAGAATAACCAGACAGGCTTTCATCTGCTCAATTGCAAGGCTTTAATTTTTCAGATGTAAAGTATAATAAAAAGCCTTTCAACCCCCTACCCCCACCTCCATTCTCCTGTAAACTTTGTGAAACCCTGCATGTTGAACTAAATGATATTGAGAGCCACTATTTCTTCCTGTGGCTACACTGCAGACTTCAAGCTAACAAGATTCATATCAAAAGGTTGCATTGCACTAGGAACAATGTCTGATACCAGAGCAATTTGTTTAAAAAATGAGGTAGCATGTCTGCATCTGCTGTTATGGCCATGATATTTATGCTTGTAAGAATGAAGTTACTCATTCCAGAATGGTAACAAGATGTCTTTCATGTATCATTAAGATAACTTATGTCAAGCACTTGGCAAAATTATTGAAGCCGTTTCAATATTACTAATTTATTACAAATATCTTGTAAGAAAAACCAGTAGACATTAATTAGTGATCAATGAAGATGGACTCTTCCTCTTGGCTCGCTCTCATTTGACTTCCTAATAACCAGTTTGCTTTTTCCCCCTAGCGTGGGTCAATATGAAATGAATCCAAGTCGTTTCACACTTCCATTTTCTAATAAACTGAAACTCTTTAAAGAAATTAGTGATTCTCTTGCATGTTCTTAATCCTCCTGGATGTTATAAATCATGTTTTTATCCCATAGATTTTACATACTTATTTTCTCTTTAATTACTGCACACTAACTGGATAGTTCTAGGGGGTAATTTTATTAGTTCTAAGACATTTTAAAATGGACTTATTCTAAAATTAATCATATTTGACTTTAGAGTACAAACATCCCCCTCATTATTGCTCTACTGGTTAGGGGAAACTAATTTTCAAAATGTTTAACTAAAAGCATAAAATGGAGGGCATTAATCTTTAATTTCTTAATCATTTTGGCCCTCATTTTTTGTTTGTTTGTTTGTTTTGACTCAATATTTGGCACTCAAAGCTCCCGTTAATTTAAGCTAGATTCCAGGAGGTTAAGAATCTAATTCTTTGATGTTTTTTTCCTCAGCCCAGGATCCAAGAGAGTCTTGTTATCTAGTGCACTACAGCAGTGGGATACATTTGAGTAAGAGTTAGACCTTTGAACCGTCAGCCTATTGAAGGGATGCTGGGCCTGGGACAAAGAGTTAAGCCTTTCCTGTGTTGCTGTGGAAGTTACGCATCCTGGTAATTTACCACATCACTTAGCAATTGCTAAGTTATAAGTGAACATTAAAATGGGGGAGGAAAAGAAGAAAAAAATAACTACAGAACAAAGATAAGCAGGGTCATTATCCTGGGGACACAATCTGTTTTGGAAAATTCCACCATGCGGTTACTTTCTTAATGTACAGATTATCGTTTAATTTGATTGGGGGGTGGTGGTGGTCCTATTCTTCTTTCACTTCTGTTATTGGAAAGTCATATTTTCCCCTAGTGGCTTCAGCATGGTCGCTTACACACTCACACATTGATTATTTCTCTTGGCCACAGTACAAATGAGCTGGAAGCAGATCATCTCCTTGAGTTTCTCCTTCACCCTTTCAGCATTCACTCCATTGAAAACTGGATTTAAGTGCCTGTGTGGTCCTGCACGTCTCTAATCCCAGCCCTTGGGAGGTGGAGACTGAAGGTCCCGTAATTAAGGTTATCCTTAGGTACATAGTGAAGTTGGAGCCAGCCTGGACTATATGAGACCTTGTCTCAAAACAAAACAAAAATAAAATTGAAATTGTAGGGGGGCTGGAGAGATTGCTCAATGGTTTAAGAGCACTGGCTGCTCTTCCAGAGGGCCTGGGTTCAGTTCCCAGCATCCGCATAGCAGCCTACAATCACTTGTAATGCCAGTTCCAAGGGATCCAACATCCTCTTCTGGTTTCCATTGGATACCACACACATGTGAAACGCAGACATACACTCAAGTACACACATATGCACATAGTAGAAAATTGAAGAAAAATAATTTTGCATTTGTAATAATATCTTTTCCAAAATATAATAATCTTTTCCATAGCTGTATGATATGAAGGAAGAAGTAAACACTCGGGACAGAGGACAATCGCAGATGCCCCTACTGCTGGTTTGGGGATTTTGTTTTGCAACCATGGCGTCTAGTTTTTTGTATGTTTTATTTTATGTAATCCTTATAACACAAAGCAGGTACATATGTAGAAAGAAACTTGCCCAAATCACCCAGCTGCAC